GGGCTCGGGATGGACTGAGCAAGGTGATTAGCTACAAAGCAAGGAATTCAAGGGGTGAGGTGGAGTAGGGGCTACATCTAAGGAGCGAGGCTGCTAGAGGAGTTGGTAAAGGAGTTAGACTAAGAAGAGTGGAGGGCTGGAGTGGTAGAGGTGGCTGGTTCAGAAAGGAGGGCACAAAGGGAGTGAGATTGTTACAGGTGAGCTCTTCCAGAGGATGGCGTCAAGGCAGGGTAAAAAGAGGTGCTGGCCTGCCAGGTTGATTGTGGCAGATGAGCTGCAACACAACTGTTTCGAATCATTACTGCAATACTTAAGTCTCTACGCTCAGCCCGACTACGTCTTTCAGCCCTGGACCTGGCCTCCTGCCTCACCAAGGGGGTGAGATTGTCAGGCATAGACTCGCTCAGTCTCTCCCCCAGCAGCTCAGAGTATATCCTCACACTTCCTCTCTTTCCTTCCTCCTGTCTCAGAAAAAGTTATTTTTCTCTTCTCTGGTTCTCTGAACCTTCCCTTGTGTCTCTGATGTGTTTACTGCCTCCACACACCCAAAAGTATTTTGTACTTCTCTTGTTTTCTCTGACACTTTCCACCATGAATAAGCACAAATACAGTGAGCTTACGAAACAAAACCACAAATTGATTACCCTTTTGCAAGTACTGTTCTCTCTCTCCTCACTGTAGGCACCAAAATCATAAAGTGGTCGATGGCCACTGCCTCCCAGCCCCACCACCCAATTCCTATTTAATCCTCTGTGTTTTGGCTGCTTGGACACTGCTGTATGGAACACGTGTTCCTGAAGTCTCCTGAGGCCAACTGGTCACCCTCATAAAGGCTTTGTCCAGCCCTGGCTGGCGTAGCTCAGTGGATTGAGCGCGGGCCTGCGAATCAGAGTATCGCGGTTCGATTCCCAGTCAGGGCACATGCCTGGGCTGCAGGCCGGTTCCCAGCAGGGGACTCACGAGAGGCAACCACACACTGATGTTTCTCTCCCACTCTTTCTCCTTCCCTTCCCCTCTCTCTAAAAATAAATAAATAAAATATATATAAAAAAAGGCTTTGTCCAGTCTGGGGCTATGGCTTCTCTGAGAGATTTATAACTTTACTGACCCTTCCCTTCTTGACCCTCTCTTCTGTTCATATCCTTGACCCAGTGCTCTTCTGGAGCTCTGCCCACTGCTCACTTACTGAGCTCCAATCCTGGCTCAGCTGCTTCTTTTCTGTGCAGTGCCAGGTAAGTCATTGGACCCTGCTGTACCTTGGTTTCCTCATCTGTTAAATGGAGATAGGAAACGTGCCTGTCCCTTTGGGCTGTGTAAGGGTCCAGTGGCAGGATGAATGTTAAAGCCATTTGCAGGCTACCTAGCTTATGCTAAGTGTTCAGAGTTAGCTGTCAGCATTTTTTCTCTCTCTCCTCTTATCTGACATCTTATTCAACAAAGCATACCTATCCATACTTCGTTGGACTACCTCTGTGCTTTCTTGCCTGTTGATTTTGCTCACACCATTCGCCCTCCCAGAAAGGCACCTCTGCCATCTTCACTTACTGAAATCCTTCCACTTCCTGAAGACTCCACCTCAGCGGTACCTTTCTGTGAAGCCCTCCCAGCTCACTGAAGCCAAAGCTGATTTCTCCTCCAGTGAAGTCTTTTGCTCATTTTTCTGACATATTTTGCCTTCTATTATAATTATTTAATTCTATGACTTCTCTTCCTTCCGAGATTTTCGTCTCTTTGATGGCAAAATCACACTTACTAAATGTGAATACTAGGTGGTCTTGAATGAATTCCTATGGGACTATGCATGCTAATCCAGGGAGGAAATCATTGCATTAGATTCAGTGGAAATGTCTTACAAAGAACATAAATGATCTCAAGAGGAAACTGGGCAGAGTTCACATAAAGGATTCTAAAATGAGATGTCATGGGAAAAAGAATGGCATCAAGTAAAATAAGCCAGACAGAGAAAATACAAATGCCATATGACTTCATTTTATGTGGAATCTAAAAAAAACCAGCCCAAAAGCCAAATAAACAAATAAAACAAAAACAAATGTGTAGATATCTACAGAGAACAGATTGGTGGTTGCCCAAGGGAAATGGGCTCTGGGGCGGGTGAGGTGGGTGACTGGGATCAGTTGTACAGTGGTGGACGGTAACTAGACTTACGGTGGAGATCACTATGTAGTGTATGCAAATACCAAATTACAATGCTCTATGCCTGAAATATATATATAATCTTGCATACCAATCTTACCACAATAAGAAAAATGAACAAACACATGAAGTCTTCATTTCTTTTTAATAAGTGGAAAACAGTGGGGGAAATATACAAGAAACTGAAGGTTGTAACCAAAGAAAAGGTATTTGATTTGAACATACACAGGAATGAAACACTGAGTTGAAAGTGTTTAGGAATTAATCAAGTAAAAAGAAAAAACTTGTATGTTGAGTCCATGCCTGTTCTCAGAAGCTCAGGAAATAACCCAGAGAGTTTGAATTTGGCTCAAGAGAAGAGAAGGGAAGAGAGAGAGAGATTGGGACAGATCTTGTACACAGTGGGTCTTTAGTGTATATGAATGAACAATAAATTAAGTGCCTTTGTCAGGGTAGAATCTTAGTGCTTTGAGATTCCCATATTCAACAAGAGTAGACAGAACGTGAATAATTTGCCTGTGTGGCTTTGACAATGTGCACTTTTCACTCAGCCAATATTTGTCATTGATGCACATTTTCCCCACTATATTATCCCTTTTCCTGGGTTTTTTCAAGATACTATCCTAGTTTTCTTCCTCTTTCTCTTGTCACCCATTCTCAGCTTCTCTTCCTCAGCATCCTATGCTTGGAGCAAGTCTTTCCTCATTTTGCTCCCTATACTCTTTACTTGATCCATCCACCATCCACTGCCCATAGTTTTAACTCCCCTTCACATGCTGGTAACTCTCAAATATGCATTTCCAGGCTCCAGACACCCATATCCAGCCAACTTCTTGAAATCTTTATGTCGCATTGAGCACATACTGACTTCTACAACCCAGCATGGACCCCTGAGCTAGCCACTGATTTGCCACTCCACTCCACTTTTTCCGCCTTCATTTAGAATAGGGGCAAAGAGATTTTGAGAGGAGGGGGAAGAGAATGAATTGTTGCTGTTTCCAAAACTTCACTTCTCTTTTGTTTTCCTGACCAAATCAGCTTGGTCTTATACTTGGATATTTTATTCAGAGAAATAAAACCCACGTGGCTCAGAACCTCCTTCCTTAGGATTCAGCCAAGGGAGTTGCCACCTTTACTCAAAGGTTGCTTTGGGGGGAAGAGGGGTTTTACCCCCTCTGAAGTGGCTCGTCAAGAGTTCCTTACAACTCATGTAGTAATCTCTTTCATAGAAGTTCTGAGGACAATTTTATCCATCTCCTTATATTTCCAGTGATGTTTAAGGCTCCAAATGTTCTCCAGGAAGCTAGCCTTGTGGAGAACACTAACTCCATCCTCACTTTCCTGCAGAATTAGCCATCTGAATAAATGGTGCCTCATCATATATTTTCCCAAGCCAGAACACTAGATATTATCTGCTCCAATATGCTTCTTAATTTTTATAATTAGTGAACTTTCATATTTCAAATAATTCATCCATAGATTCTCTCGAACTCTTCTGCAGAGAGTGGGGTCATCTGGGCATAATCACAGTTTTGCTTCTTTCCTTGTGATCCCTATGCCTTGTTATAGTTTCCCTAGACCTCCAGGAAAATGCTGAGTAGAAATGGTGATGGCAGGCATCTCCATCTTGTTTCCTTCTTGGAAGGAAATGTTTTTTAATTAATCATCCATCATTACATAGAATGTTTGCTCTAGTTTTCTGGGATTTTGTTTTTGGCAGATACTCTTTATCAAGTTAAGTTCTCATGTATTTCTATCTTGCTGAGACATTTTTTTAAATGTCATACATCTTTGTCATCTTTTATCAAATTTTTTCTTGAGATGATTATACTTCTTGACTCACATAAATCAGAAAGATTTACCCTCTTCCCTAGTCACTTGGGAGAATGTTTTATGTTTTTCTTTTCTCATATTGCACTTGTCTAGGTTTAGTGTCAAGTATTTACTTGCCTTATAACATGCGGTGAGAAATGTACCCCCCTTTTTTCGTTCCTCATTGGGACAGTTTGTAAAAGATTAAAATTACATATTTTTCAAAAGTTTGCTAGAACTCACCCATAAAACTGACTAGACCTAAGTGTTTATTTTATTTGAATTGTTCCTGAATCCAAGTTCTCCCCCGCCCCAGTCTTTCTCTCTCTCTGTCTCTCTCTTTCTCTGTGTGTACATAATTTACTTCTTTAACTGCTTAGTGCTAGGTCACAAAAAAAAAAAAAGTTCACCTGAAACTGATACAAAATAATATTGAATGCAAGCTGTAATTTTTTTGCCCCGTCATGTAATGGTTAGCCCTCTGGACTTTGAATGCAAGCGGTAATTGAAAATAAAATTTAGAAAAAGATAAAAAGGCAAGTAAGGACTAAGGAACTGTGACAGATAGGAGAGGATCAGAGGACCAAGGAAAATAACAACTAAACACATTGTGGGGGCCCGGGTAGGATCCTGGAACAGAAGAAGAACATTAGTGGAAAATCATTTGTGATTTTAATGAGGTCTCCAGTTCAGTTAAATAACGTTGCACCAGGGTTAATTTCTCAGTTTTGATCATTATACGATGGTTATGGATTATGAGGAGAAGCTGTGTGAAAAGTATACAGAAACTGTTCTATGTTTTTGCAACTTTTCTGGAAGTCTAAAATTAGTTTAGAGTGAAAAGTTTAAGAAAGAGATCATTCCGGTGGCTGTGCAGAAAGCAGACAGGGTGGGAGCAGACCCTACACAAGGAAAGCAAGTAGAAGTTCACAAAAGGTTGGTGGGAAGAGTGAAGATGATGGCTATAAAGATGAAAGGTAGTTTATTAATTTATTGTATCTCTGTCTCTCTATTTTTTAAATCATCACCTGAAGATATGTTTATTGATTTGAGAGAAAGAGAGAAAGAAAATCATCAACATGAGAGAGAAACATTGATCAGCTGCCTCTCGTACCTGCCCCAACTGGGGGATTGAACGCACAGTCTAGGTATGCTCCCTGATGAGGAATTGAACCTGTGGCCTTTTGGTGTGCGGGACAACGCTTCGACCAACTGAAGCACCCAACCAGGGTATGTCTCATTTTTTGATTCCTGATATTGTTTATTTCTACAGTTTTCCTTTTAAAATTGATAAAAATTGCTAAAGTTTTATTAATTTTATTAGTCTTTTTGGCAAACTAACTTTTTAAAAATCCTTTTTATTTTTTCTTTGTTTTCTGTTATATTTATTTATGTCTTTATTTTCTCAATAAATATTTACTGATCTCCAATTATATTCCCAGCACTATTCTAGGCCCTTGAAATAAATCAGTGAACAAAACTGATCAAGATTCTTGTCATCAAGTCCACCAAGTTTAAAGCCAGATAAGTCCAGCAGCAGTCCATCTGAAGAGGGAAATGGTACACCTGGATCAAGCCCAAGTAGCACCAGAGGGCATGTGTAAGCTATTTGAACAGGTAACTACATCCCACGTCCCTTCCACAATTACATCAGTGCCTCTGCCTCAGCCGACACTTATGGCCCTATGGAGAGACCTCTGTGACCAGCTAAAGAAAGAGGCATAATAAGCCCAAGCTTGGTTTACAGATGAGTTGGCTTAGTATGTTACATAAGCTGAAAATCAACAATGACTACATTATATAGCCCCATTCAGGAGTGACCTTGAGAGAGGAAAATAAAAGTCTTCCCAATGGATGGGACTGTGAGAGGTGTGCTGGTCATTCACTTTGTGTTGAAGAAGTGGCTTTAGGTGAGGATGCATATAGATTTCTGGGCAGTGGCCAATGGCCTGGTTGTCTGGACAGGAAATGTACTGGAATATTAGAGGCAAGGAAGGCTGGTGTAGGGGTGGATCTATGTGGGTGAGCATGAGTAGGATGATCTTTATGTCACATGGGATGCTCACCAGAAAGCATTCACCATAAAAGAGGCTCTGGACAACTAAGTGTACGTGCTGACAAGCTGATTCAGCCTGTTGACATTACCAGCCTTGATCATCAGCTACCCAGCACTGGCATGATGGGCACATGAAAGGAGTGGCCACAGTAATCGGGATGGAGGCTACTGATAAGATCTAGCTACTATTGCCTCGAATGTCTGACTTTTGAGCAATAGAGACCAACTCCGAGTCCCAGAGTTGCCTTGAGAAGACTGAACAGCTGCCTGGTGCCAAGTCAGTTATGTTAGGCTTCTTTCTTCCTGGAAGGAGCAGAATGTGGTTTTTTCATAGTGATAGATGGTTATTCTGGGCATGGCTTGCCTTTCCTGCTCACAGTGTAGAACCCAGACAGCAACCTCATCTGGGTGCTTATTGAACTGCAAACTATAGCCACCATGAAAGTCCTTTGGATACCCTGTACCCTGGGCCATGCAGGCAACAAGAGGTGTCCCTATGGTGGCAGGAGGCAGAGCTGCTGTTACCCAAAGGGACAGGAAACAGATAACCTACTTGGGAGCCTCTTGGTGCTGCCTGGCCCCTTCTAACTGTAAGTGGACACATGTAGCAACCCCAACCTGAGAAGTTGCCTGAGAAATGAAGCTTTGTGTCATACCACCAGGGAAGCCACTAAGACCTGTTGAAGTGATAGCTGAAGGTGAGAAAAATTCAGAATGGATAATGGGAGGGACATGGGGAGTATCACTTATGTCCTGGTAGCAAATCCAACAATGCTCCCTTTTCCAAGTTTTCCCTTAAGTCTAGAGGCCATGAGAACCATAGAGGGGTTGTTCCCCAAACCTACATGGAGACAGACATCTATGTTCCTTAAGGGGTGGCCCCTGGCTGCCATGGAAATGAACTGCTCAAATCTCCTGCTGTGGGGAGTGTAACTGACTGACAGCCCCTCTTACTCCACCACCATGTTCACACGGAAACCTCCATTCCCCTGGGCCGTTGCAGCTGTAGCTGAGTGCACCTGGGGTACTAGTGTAAACCATTCCTGCAGGTCCCACGGAATAAGTCTAATGGGAACCTTTGGCTCTAGGGCTCCCCATCAACTTGGCCAAACTTTCATGGAACTGTGCTCTGTCTGAGACTCTTCTCACCCAAACCTCCTTCCTTCATTTTCTCTTTTCATAGGTGTCCTTGTGATCTCTCAGCCTGCTCCTTCTTCCTTTATGCTTCAGAATGTATAAAGCTCCGGCCTATCCAGTCCCATCTTGGCATCTACTTCTTGGAGGTCTGTAACCAACATCTGATATTTAAAGCCATAAGACAGAATGACATTGTCAAGGTTGTGAGTGCAGATAGAAATTAGAAGCGAACTAAGCTCCAGGATTCTCCAACATTCAGAATGAAAGAGAGAGAAAGAATTAACAAGAGACTGAGAAGGGCTGGCTGGTGAATTAGGAGGAAAACCAAGAGAATTTGGTGTCCTTGAAACCAAGGAAAAAAGGTGTACCCAAGAAAAGGAATGCTTGACCATGTCACAGATGCTGCCAGGTCATGTGAGCTGAGGATCACAGGATTTAACAAGCTGAAGCTCATTGGTGACTTCGACAAGAGCAGTTTCAGTGACGGAAGCAGATGACACCTGATTGGCATGTGTAAGAGACAATGGGAGAACAGGAACTGGAAATGCTGAGTGTAGACCACTTTGGGGAGAGATCTGTTGCAAAGTGGAGCTGAGAAATGGGGCAGGAGCTGGCAGGGGAACTGGGATCCAAGAAAGGATTCTTAAGATGTGAGAGGTAGCAGCCTATTAGTGTGCTGAAAGGAATGATCCAGTAAAGGTAAGAAATGGATGATGTAAGCAGAGTGAAGCACTGTTGGAATGATGTTGTTGAGTAGGTGATAAAGGATGAGGTTACTGAGTGGGAAGCTCTTTGAAGAGTCCCCGCTCCAACTCTCTGCTACTCCCAGGCCTGAGCTCACCTGCGGTCAGTTAAGTGCAAATGCCTGAAATAGCACAAACTCCCACCCCTCCACACAGTGTGTTGCATCAGCTCAGACACTCACCACTGATTTTCAGTCCCCTCTTTGCGTTTGGTATCTAGGAATTTTGCCTCACTTTCTGTGATTTAAACTAATTTACTATAACTTTCACCCATTTCTCATTTTTGTGCCTGGATTGTTTTCTGGCTACCCCAGTCTCCTATCTTACTGCAAATGAGAGTCTCCTACAGCAATTTTTCTCAAGGGCAGATCTAATTAGGTTTCTTCCCTACCCTTTAACTCTTCAGTTGCTTACAGTTACCTGAAGAATAAAATCCAGGCTTCTCATGGCAGCATGTGAAATATGCTTCTCTCCTCTCCAGGCTCCTAGCTGTCCATCCCTGCAGACCTTGCAAACACAAATATTCAGTCGTCAAATCCACCTTTTCAGCTTCTGACCTTGGTGCCATTCCAAGGATGGCCTTCTTCACTCTACGATCATAAGGCTGTTCTATATTTAATACAGTATATTTTACTGTATTTTTCACATTTCAGATTTTATTTCACTTATAACTTTTTTAATGATGCAAGTAATTAATTTTTATCCCATTTTTAGCCAGTTGCTCTAATGCCCCCCTTCCAACTTTAAATATTAGTGATTGAAACAAAGGCCCTGGCGTGCTTCCATCAGCAGCAGCACAGGCCGGGGAGCCAGAGTGGTCCTGGTGCCTGTGACAGATGCCAGCCCTGCCTCTTCCCTGCTGCTGCCAGGATTCTTGGAGGCAGCTTATGTGTGGCACAGGCACCGAAGCGGCATTTACTAATGTCATTGTGCTGGGTATGATTATGACTTAGTAGGAGTAACAGAATTAATGGATTTGGGGGGACTGTATTCTATTCTCTTGAGCTATTCGTCTATACCCATCCCAGGATCATATTGCTTTAATTTCTTGAGGTTTGATAGAATGTTTTATTTTTATTTATTTATTTATTTAAATATAGAATTTATTGGGGTGACATTGATTAATAAAATTATATAGGTTCAGGTGTACAATTCTATAATACATCATCTCTGTATTGTACTGTGTGTTCGCCACCCAAAGTCAAGTCCTTCCATCACCATCTCTCCCCTCTTTACCTTCCTCTACCTCCTCCCATTCCCCTTTCCCTCTGGTAATCACCATACTGTCTGTGGCTATGAGGTTGTTTTCTTTGTTTAATCTCTTTACCTTTTTCCCTACTGCCCCCCCCCAACAACTGTCAGTCTGTTCTCTGTTTCTATGAGTCTGTTTCTATTTTGCATGTTAGTTTATTTGGTTCATTAGATTCTTCGTACAAGTGAAATCATATGGTATTCGTCTTTCTCTGACTGGCTCGTTTCATTTAGCATTACTCTCTAGGTCCATCTGTGCTGTTGCAAAAGGTAAGATTTCTTTCTTTTTTATAGCTGAGTAGTATTCCATTGTGAAAATGCGCCACGGCTTTTTTTTTTTTTTTTACCCACTCATCTACTGATGGGCACTTGAGCTGTTTCCAAATCTTGGCTATTGTAAATAATGCTGCAATGCACGTAGAGGTGTTCCTTCACATTGGTGTTTCAGGTTTCTTTGGGTGTATTCCTAGAGGTGGAATTGCTAGGTCATCAGACAGTCCCATGTTTAATTTTTTGAGGTAATTCCGCACTGCTTTCCACAGCGGCTGCACCAGTCTGCATTCCCACCAACAGCTCACAAGGATTAGAATGTTTTAATATCAAATAGAAAAAAAATGCCTTGAGTGGATTTTAACGTTTTATAAATAATTTAAAACATCTTGTTATTGCACATATAATAATGTTTTCATTGCTCCTATTTCTCAAGTCATTAGTTATAAAAATATTTGAATGTTTTTTAGTATTTTAGTATTTAGAACAAAATCATAATTCAGAATTAAAAATAAAAAGAGCCCTGGCTGCTGTGGCTCAGTGGAGTGAGAGCCAGCCTGCGAACCAAAGGGTCACCGGTTTGATTCCCAGTCAGGGCACATGCGTGGGTTGTGGGCCAGGTCCCCAGTGCAGGGTGCGTGAGAGACAACCACGCGTTGTTGTTTCTCTCCCTTTCTTTCTCCTCCCTTCCCTCTGTCTAAAAATAAGAAAAATAAAATATTTAAAAAATAAATTAAAAGATTAATTGCAAAGGACTTCATAGGAAAAAGTTGAGTGACTTAGAGTTATTTGGGTTGGCCCGATGTATCATAAGGAAATTAACTTATCATATTTCATTGCTATTGAGAATCAAATGAGGAAATAGGTTTAAATTGCCACATGGGTTTCAGTTAAGCAAAAGGAAAGGATAAGCTGACTAGGGAGTAAAACATAGGTAGAAAAAAAGGTTAAACGCTACTCCGTATTTTTTTAAAAAAAGGTCTGGACTCTCTCTCCCTCTCCCCCCTCCTTCTTTCTCGAATCCTGCAGAAGGGGAGGAAACAAAACATAGCTGGTTGCTTGAGGGGCTTTCTAACTTTGGATTACATGAACTTGAAATTTCATGCCCACTCACTTGCATTTGGGGGAGTTTTCCTGCATGTCAGGAACCCAAGTACCGCCATCTCATCAGTCTCATTTAAACACTTAGTTTTGCACAATAATATACAAGGTCCATCTCTTAAAACACTATTTCCTCTGTCTTAATTAAATGTTCTTCCTTTGTCATTAGTATTTCAAGCATACTACTGAGTCCTTATTTGTTCACATTCTCTCTTAAAATATGGCTTTTCCCCTTGTTTATTTTCTGCAAATATATCATGGGGCATGGAGCAGCAGGAAATAACCCTTCGCTGACCACTATGATTCAGCACTCTGAGTTTCTTTTGCTGCACTTTTTTTATTCACACTCACACTAATTTTATTAAATCTCCTGCCAGACTAATGCACATTATGGACACTACTTTACATCTGAGGCAATGGCAAAACATGACCAGGGAGCTAGAAACAAAGAAAAGATGTAGACTCATGGCACTGCAGTTCCTAGAAATGTCTCTGTTCTCAGCAACTTCATTTATTTGGATCAACATTCACCCAATATCATCTAGAGTTAGTGTCATGGTAGATGTTGTATGTGAGATGATGTGTAGTTATTCATTCATCATTCAGCAAATATTTACTGAGAGCCACCTGTTAGGTTCTGGAATATACTGCAAAGAAACCAGACATGAAATTTTCAGTCTGGCAGGGTTGGCAGACAGAGGTGTTATGTGTACTGTGAAAAAAAGAGGCGTCAATTTATTTATTCAACATACATTTCTCAACCCCCTCCTGCTTTGTGCAAAGCACTGATGTTACATAAACTGGGAGGTAGCTCAGCGGGGGTGCTTGTATGAGGAGTGGAGTGCCCCCTAAAATGCAGGGACTTTCTGACCCAGTTGCCCCTCTGGTGCATGATGAGCCAAAGATGGCCAGGGAGACAGTGTCAGAAATTTCCCTCCCGTCTTCCTACTGCCTGCCAGCATTAGAACCACCTGTCACACAGACTGCCATTTCGAGGAGGGGCAGCGAGAGTGACCGGGGAAGCCACCCCAAGCTGGCAGGTGGAGATGTCAGCAGAAAGGCAGAGAGGGAGACATCCTTCCCAGCAGGTGAGGCTCTGAGCCGGCCCTGGGGAGGCAGAAGTGGAGGTCTCTGTAGCCATGGCTTTTCCACATGCTCTGAAAGTGGGAGTTTTTGATAGCCTTTGTGTCAGGAATAATTCCTATGAATAATAAGCCAAATGTGTTTTTTAAATTCCCTTTTAAAGTTCATTTAACTTGGAAGGGAAAGTAAAAATGGCACATCTTCAAAGTAGGAGAAGGAATATTTCTGTTCAGAGGAAGAAACGTTCACCAACAAAATACCCAGAGGCCTTGGGGTTTCTTAAGAATTTTATTTAAGTGGAATCTTATAAAAGAATGAAACTGTATACTGTTTTTTCAAAGAAAAAATAGCAATAGATTGTTTTCTGTCTGGGAAGATTTTTTTTTTAAATCTCCCACCTCTGGTTTTCAAATTCTGGCTTTCACATGCTCTATCTGAATTTTGTAAATTGGACTCCTCTCCCTCCTCCTATAGCAGAAATAAGTCTTATCTGCATAGAAGTGTTTTTTCTCTTTCTCTGGGAACCAGCTTTCAAGATAGGATGTGGGTAAGAATAGCAAACACCTGAGAAAGTGAGCTGTGATATATTTTATTTCTATCATCATCAAAGACTAGCAGTGAAACAGTTAGAGTTGCCTTCTCCTCAAGACTGTCAGTCTTGCATCTGGAAATTCATCTGGGAAATGTTGTCCAATTAATGATTGGAAGAATAATGCCACACATGTACACACACACACACACAGCCTAGTTCTCTCTCCCCTCAGCCTTTTGCCTTCAGAGACCCTTAAGACAAGTTTGAAAGAAGACTTAGAGAAAGATGGCAAAGTCTCAAGTTCCCATGCCTTGAGGATGGCAGCCAGTGAGAGACAGCAGGGAAGCTGAGTGTTTTCCTTGCAGTGTGTACTTTGGTTGGCCGAGCCACAGAGACTGGGTAGGAAAATGACCCGCTGGCATATAGGTAGGCAGGTTCACTCCTGATTATGTAGAATAGAGCAGGCCTTCTAACTTTCACACCCTTATGAACCACTGGGGATCTTGTTGAAATATAGCTTCTAATTCAGTAGGCTTCTGGAATAGGAACCAAGATTCTGCATTTCTGACAAACTCCCAGGTCATGCAGATCCTGATACTCTGACGCACAGAAGAACCATCTCTCCCTGACCTCCTCTTCCTACCTCCTGATCGTCATAGCATTTTAGAACTGGAATAGAGCTTGAACATTTAGTTACCCCTAAAATACTGGTCTATGGGGTGAGTGACTGCATCTGAATCATAGGGAGAGCATTAAAACCCTAGATTCCCAGACGTTCTGATTCAATGGGTCTGTGGGAAGTCCCAAGCATCTACAGGGTCTGACACAAATAAGGCCCCTTTTTTATTACAAAATCTTATTACAAAATCATAAACATGTAATTCTGTAACATAACAATATCACTCTCTGTTGGGAACCAGTCTGCCTGGTTTCAGGAATTATAGCTACCTCCCATGGCCAAGGATGAGTGAGTGACCTCCGGAATGCGAGCCACAGAGACAAAGCTTGTGTCTCTGGTAGCAAATGCTGCCTCAGCTTACTCCCCTGCCCCCAAAGCATGGTCGGTGCCCATGACAGATAAGACTCCTCACAGCGAGGGGCAACCTAAGCCAGACACAATCACTTGGGAGGCCATCATGGAAGGACTAGGGGGGATGGGACAAAGAGGGAGCAATGGACCCTTGTCCCCCGGCTATTCTGACATAGCCCAAGTCCCCATGTCCTCTGGGAGAAGTGCTTCCTGGCTCTAATCCACTTAAGCCTGAAAACCTGTGATGGGGAGGTAGTGCAGCTCCTTCCCTTGTTAGAGCGGTATGGGGCAAATCTGGCATCACAAAGAATTCCTAGAAGTCCTGTGAAACCTGCTTTGCTAAGAGTGCTTTCATTCATATGTTAAGGGTCTGAGCAGGAAATAAGTATGTCTCCCAAAGTTTCTGCTACCCCCTTTCCTGACAGACACTGACTCAGACCAAGCCCTCAGATTTCTCTGAAATGTTATCTACAGTTTGATCCTTACTGCCCTGTATTCCTGTGTATTACAACCCAATAAAAAATCCTGGAGGAAGGGGCTCCTGGCCTTTTTCCTCTGAGAAACTGGCCACCTCTCCTCCCCAAGCAGATCATGTCTTGGCAGTATTTACTTTCATCCGTGGCAAACAGGGGGACTTGAGGGTAAAGTTGACCCCACAACTCTCCAGCACACCGTGTATTTTAGGTGAATGTTCAACTTAAAATCATACATTATTACACCCATATTATTATCCTACCAACCACACTCAAACAAGCCTTGCTTCTGCCAGGCCCTGTGTATTCTTTTAAAGCCCCTTAGGTCAATTGGAGGAGCAAAAAGGCTTTGCAGCATTAACAATCAACTCATTGAATAAACAAGTTAACAGGTTGTGAGTGGTTTTGTGACCTGCACAATAAGACCTAGCGAATGATGGCATCAGAACTGGAATTCAGAGACCCTGTTTCAGCCTACCACCCTGCTATTTACTCTGTGGCTGCCTGGGGCATTTGCTTCCCCCAAGAAAACAAAGTGATTTCCCATCTTTGAATAAGCAATTCATAAGTATAAAATAGAAGTCAGGTTCAGTGCTGTTTAATGGGGTGCCATTCCACCCAGAACATTTCCTCCTGCTAAAAGCAAGTCCAAAGAGGTCTAATGTGAATTTGCTTCTACCTTACTCTGAGAGAAAGTTGCTTGGAGAAGTGCACTATGGAAATGGCGATGCTTCCCATTATAGTCCCCTGGGAGGCAATTTCATTGTTTAAAAGGACTTTACTCCTTGATGTTTTTCTGATGCCCAATGAAAATATTGATTTTTT